TGACCCCTGCCTAGAAGACTCATTCGTTAGGTATTGCAAAGGCCATCTTCCAGTGGCCTCGCCTCACTGTTCGGTGAGCAATTCCACAAAGAAAATCATCCCCTCAACTAGGTGGGTGCCTTGAAAAGCAGGAGTGTTTAATTCTCCCTTTCCTCCCTTCCATTAACTGGCCTTCACAGTGTGGATTTGGTTCTTTGCTGTCCTCCAAAGGTCAGTAACGAGGTGTTTTTGTAAAACGATAGTCAGGTATGGGTTTAACCACCTTTGTGTTCCAAGCCATCAATTGTTGGCCTTACTTGTACTTCAGTTGCCCCGTCCTTGGCCAGGAAATGTCTTCAGGTTGGTTCTGAGTCAGGGTGAGAGGGACCTTAGTAGCCTTGGACAGCGCCACTGTCCTCTACTGTGATGTCAGTGTGCAGATCTGGAATTGGCATTCTGGAGCCCTCCTGGCTCCTTATAGGGAGGTGCGTGCAGAGGCCACAGTCTGACGTCAGGCGTGCTCTCTGCTCCTCTGTTAGTTGTTTTCCTTCAGCTTTTTCAGTGGACAGGCAGAAAAGCTGTGAGCACAGAGTGCACTCTGAGTTCTTGCAAGTACTTCAAACCCAAGCTCAGGACCTCCCCAACCCACATCTGTGTCTCCCCACCATAGAGCCCATTCTCAGCCATGCTGGCCCCTGCACCCATACCAGACAGGCCAACATGAGGGGTGCAGAAACTGGCCAGAGAACTGGCCCTTGTAGCATGGGGACCTTCACGTGTAACCTGCTAGGGTGTCTGTTCACATGGCAGGTGAGCACCACCGGGAAGTTTCTGCAGCTGGACACAGGCCTATTTGTTTCCTGTACTTTGCATGTTTAGGAAGTGCCTTTAAGTTTAATTTTGTTTTGTGCATACATCAAGTGTCCACATGGTTCCAAAGTCACATTTTAAAGCAAGATGTATTCAAAGATGTCTCACTCTTAGCAATACAAAAGCAGTCTGATTCAAAAGTGGGCAGAGGACTGGAGTAGACATTTATCCAAAGGCAGGCAGGTGACTAGTGAGCACATGAAATGCTCAGCGTCACTCACGTCGGGGCGATGCGGACCCCATCCACAGTGATGAGCCACTTCTGCCTGTCAGGACAGCTACTATCAAAAACAGAAAACAGGCCTGGAGAGGGTGTGGAGAGCTTGGGACCCTCATATACTGTTGGAGAACGCGAAAAATGGGGCAGCTGCCGTGGGAGATGGTGTGGAGCTTCCTCAGACAGTTACAAATAGAATTACTGTGTGTCCCAGCAAACTCCACTAGTGGGTTTGTCCCCAAAAGAATTGAAGGCAGGGTCTCAGATGGACAGATGCCTGCGCAGCCATGTTCACAGTGGCTTCACAGTAGCTAAAAGGTGGTGTATAATTTAAGTGTACAGGTAACTGAGTCCTGGCGGGTGTGAATACCCCTGTAGTTCACACCCTAAGACCCAGAATATGTCCATCATGTCCTTCCCCAGCCATTCCTCACCATTTACGTGCCGCCTCTTCCCTGCTGTCCTGACTTATATTCACCAAAGGATTTGTGATATGTCTGCCTTTTCTAGAACTTCATATATAATGGAATGACACTTTCTTGTTTCTGGCATTTTTACCCCAGCGTAACGTCTGAGGTTTAGCCCGTCCTGTCGGTGATAGTATGCCTCAGACGGCTGAGCAGGATTCCAGCATGTGAGTGTGCCATGATTCTTCTCCTGGTGGACTTGGGCCATCCCCAGGTGCTGGCTGCTGTGAGTAATGCCACCGTAAACATCCTCCTGCCACGCTTGTGTGGACATGTGCTGAGCTACTGTTGGGTTAGCCCTCAGCGTGGACTCACTGGGTCATAGGGCGATGTGTGCCTTACTCTGTATGGCACTGCCAGCTGGCCCCCAGGGGTTGTATGGTTTCCCAGTCTCACCAGCAGTGTCTGCTTTGCCTCCTCACAGGCCCTCGGCATTCTCAGGCTGTCTGACTTTATCCTGCCCAGTGGTGTCTGTGGGTCTCAGTGCATCACCCTGGCGACCAGCAGGGCTGCGTGCTTCCTCCTGGGCCCCTGCCACGTGAACAATGCCCTCTGTAAAGTGTCTGTCCAGGTCTTTAGCCTTCTTTGGAAATGGGGCCGTCTGCTTCTACTGACTTGTAGGACTGCTGTTTGTAGGCTGGATACAGGTCTTTTGCCAGACGTGTTCATAGTGTTTTCTCCCAGTCTGTGGCTTGCTTATTCATTTTTGTGCACAGTGTTTTGAATACCAGGTGTACACAGTGTGAGTGCATGCATGTGTAGGGGTTTAAGTTCTGATGCAGTGGAATCAACTTTTCCCTTTATAAATGGTAGTGCTTTACACACCCTGAGAGACCTTTGCCTCCATCAAGATTGGCAAGGACATTGTCCTGTGTTCTTTGACAAGCATTGTATCTTTTGTGTTCAGGTCTAAGATCCATCTTGAATTACCTTTTGTTTAGGGTGTCTTGAGTTATTTTTTATGGCTGTTCAATTTTCCAGTACCATTTATTGAAAGGACTTTACTTTCCCCATATAATCAATTAAACACATTTGTTGAAGGCTAATTGACCATATTGAGTGTGGATCTACTTTTGAACTTTATTTTATTTATGTATCTGTTTATATTATCAGTGACAATACAAATGTCTTGAGCACTATGATCCTATGATCTTTGAAGTAAGTCTTGAAATTAGTGAATCCTCCAACTTGGTTCTTTTACAAGAATGATTTAATTATACTGAGTTCTTTTGCATTTCCATATACATATCAGAAGCATCCTATCAATTTCCACAAAAATTCTACTGGGATTTTGATAGGATTATGTTAAATCTGTGTTGAAATGGGAAAACTGACATCTTAACAATATGGAGTCTTCATGGTAAATTTCTTCATCTGTTTATGTCTTTAATTTCTCTCAGTAATGTTTTGTACTTTCCTAGTGAGAGGTTGTGTACCTTTTAAATTTATTCCTAAAATTTGAAAACTACATTGTAAATTTTTTAAATTGTGTTTTCCACTTGTTTGTTGCTAGTATGTAGGGATAAAATTAATTTTTGTATGTTGACCTTATACCCTGTGATATTGCTAAATTCACTTTTCAGCTTTAGCAGATTTTTTTGCAGGTTCCTAGAATTTTGTGTATATACAACTGTGTTATTTCCCAAACAAGACATCCATTTCCTTTCCAATATTTAAACCTTTTCTTTGTTTGCCCTATTGCACCAGCTAAGACTATCCAAGAACATAAGTAGTGTAGAGTGAACATCCTTGCCTTTCTCTTGATCTTAAGGGAAAGATGTTTAGTCTTTCAACTGAGCATTTGATACTAGCTTTAGATTTTTGAATGGGTGCCCTTTATCATCTGGGAACATCCCCTCCCATTCCTGGTTGCTGAGAGTTTATGTGACTATTTTTGCAGGTACTGTCTCTGTATCTATTTAAGATGATCATTTTTTTTCTCCTTTGTTCTGTTACTGTGGTGAAGTATATGACTGATTTTCAAATGTTAAATAAGCTTTTAGATTCTTGAGATAAGTCTCTCTTGGTTACGATCTGTTATTTTTATATATTGCTGGATTCATTTTGCCAATATTTTCTTAGGGATTTTCATATCTGTGTCCATGTGGGGTCGTTCTGTAATTTTTCTTATCTTAAATGTTCTTGTCTGGCTTGGTCTCGCTGAACGAGTCGGGTAGTGTTTCTTCTTCCTCTCTTTCTGAAAAAGTCTATGTAAGAATGGCATTATTCTTCATTATCCACTTGGTAGAATTTACCCATAAAGCTACCTGCACCACCTGGCTTCTTGTAGAAAGGTTTTTAATTATTCACATTTTTCTGTTTCTTCTTGTGTCAGTTTTGGTAACTTGTGTTTGCGAAAGAGCTTGTCTGTTTGATCTATGATTCTGTTGGCATAAACTTGCTCACTGTAGTCTCGTTATCCTTTTAATGTCTGTAATATCTTTAGTGATGTCTCTTTCATTTCTGATATTGGCAATTTGCATCCCTCTAACTCTCACATTCTCTCCCCTTTTTTGGTCAGTTGGGAAATTTATCAATTTTCTTAAACTTCTCAAAGCTAACTTTGTATGTAATTCTTCATTATTTGCTCTTGTTTCTAGAGTCCCTTCTCTGAACAGCCCCGCCCCTTCTGGTGCCCTGCCCTGCACATTTCAACACGCTGGCAGCCCCAGCTTGGATCCTGGTATCCACCCTGCTCAAGCCCTTCCTCCCTGAACCCCACCTCTGGTGGGCAGCTGCTGCTCCCCCATGTGTTCCCTGCCCTCAGGGCCACCGTCCTGTGCTGCCCATGTTGTCTGGTAGCTGTTGATGGTGGAGGTGAGACGCAGCAGCCACCCTGCCATCACCACCCAGTGGAAGCCTCCTTTTCATCTTGAGGGTCCTGCAGTGCGGCTTTGTGCCCCTTCTAGTCTAGGGGCTCTCACTTCTTACTTTGAGTTCTTCTGTTTCTCTTTTCAAATCTTTCTATAGATGGTTTATCCCTGATGTTCTCTAGTTTGTTGGGTTACAGTTTTCACTTGTTTTATGCGTGTGTCCGTCTGGAGTGGGGTGTTACTGTCTCTGTTCTCTCCTGTTTTCACTGGACTCAGCGTGTGGCTTTTCCCACTTGCTCTTAAGTGAGCTGGGTTTTCCTGTGCTTTCAGCGAGAGTGCGCCCAGCCTCATGGCTGCCTTGCAGGTGGGTCCCTCCCAGGCCTGTGTGCTCCAGGGGGCAGCAGCCTCCCTCACACAGCACCTGGGCGGCCCCTCTTTGAAGCATGACGGAGATACTCCCTCATTTAACCAGACTTGGCCTGTGAGAGGAGCAGCTGTTTGTCTCCACCAGGCCAGACCCTTCTTTCTCTGCTGAGCCACCTCATTGGCTGGCTGTCCTGGCTGGCTCTGAGGCTGGCTCCCCTGGGAGGGCGGGGGAGGGAGGAAGGGAGGGAGCGTGCGCACACTGTCCCGTTCCTGGGACTCCCACTTCCCATCTCTGCACGGTCCCATCATGCTTGCAGATCATAGCCGTCTCCCTGCAGATGGAGCTCTGCTCAGCCAGCCCCCCAAAACTGGATTCAGCTGCAAAGTGGTGCTTCAGGCAGTTGGCAGAGTACTCAGGTGAACACAGCAGGGGATCGGTGGGGGTGTCTGCGGGCCCAGTTCCTGCCCAAGGTCAGTCTGGGAGCTGCAACTACCTGTGTGTCTGCCACCCTCCCATGTATGGTCTCCATGATGTGCAGCTTCTGTGGGCCCCAGGCTGCCCCTCCAGATTTGGTTTGGAGCCAGGTTTCCCCTAAGTGCCTGCACTTGCTGCTGCTCACAGAAGGGAGCTCGCCCGCTGCAGGGACCTGCAGCCCCAGAGGGTCTGGGTGGGAGTAGGCGGCCCATCAGTGGCCCATCTGACTTTCTGATGGACCATGTTGTGTGACCACCGCTGTCTTGCCTCATTCCATCCTGAGCCCTCCTGGCGGACCCCTCTCCACCAGCAGGGTGTCTGTTGTCCTTAGGTGAGGTGATGGAAGCTTGTCCACAAGGGGCCTCACTTAGCTGGCCTGTGCCTCGCCGTCTGCCATGGGGGCGCTGCCAGGAAGACGGCCCCCAGTCCTCTCGCCCCTGCCTTTTCTGACCTGTCACAGCAGAGACTAGAGACACCCACCCCAGCACCTCCCTGTCCAGGAGCAGGAGCATGCGCTGCACATGCGTGTCATCTTGGCAGGCCTTCCTGGCCCCAGAGGGCAGCTCTGACCTGTGCTCCCAGGACTTGGGAGCATTGCCCACACATCACTCAGCAACGCGTCATGGTCACCCTGCATCAGACTCCCTCTCGTTTGTCCCTGTTATTTCAGCGGGTCACGATTTTTAAAATAGAAGTACACATCCCTTGCTTTTCTAATTCTGTCTTTGAATTAAGTAGGCCTCTTGGTTTGGACCTGAGGTGTGGGCCAAGCCTGACCGGTGGTGTTCCTCGTGGCATGACCGATGAGTTCTAGAACCTATGTGTCTGCCTCCAGCCATCTGTGGGCACCTCTCTCTCCACCCCTCCTTCCACAGGGTTTGTCCCCATAGCAGGCCACCTGCCTGCCCTCCCAGGAGAGCATCCCAGGAATCACAGGCAGAAACCAGAGGCCTGACCTGTTAAGTCTGCCGTTGCACCGTGGGACTGAGCAAGAGAGGGTTCTGTGGCCTGGCCCAAGGGAGCTGGGCTGGCCAGCCTGCCAGAAGGTCCTCCCAAGCTGTGTAGGGGTCAGGGACCTGGGCCAGCCCCGGGTGACAGGGACAGGGAGACTTGGGGGGGGGGTGAGCGGGAGGCCTGTGTGTGCCTGCCGGTTGTTGCAGGTGTTGGGTGCGGACAGTAGGAGGTATGAAGGTGGCAGCCCCAGCCCACGGCCCCGCATGTCTACCCAGAGCCTTCTGGGGCCACCTTGCCTGGCCCTCTGAGCCGGGAGATGAGGGCACCCGCAGGGGCTAACGGTCTCCCCTAGCATGAGGACACCACACCATGATAAAGCCTCTTCCCAGCGCAGGCCGGGCCCAGAGGCCCTGTGGTACCCAGCGGAGATGGCCATCCTGCCCGATCTGCTTGTGTAGCTGCTGCCTGCAGGTTGACAGTGGCTCTGCCTGGTCACTCATGCAACAGCCATCCACAGGTTGATGCGGACACGCATTCTGTGAGTCACCAGGTGACATGACTCCTAAATGGCAGAGCAGGGAGATGGGTCAGGCGACCGGCTTCACAGCTGGGGCCCCTACCCAACCCCACCCCTGCACCTGGTATCACAGGACCCTCCAGGCCTGGAGCCCAGGCCTTAGTGTGTGTGGCTGGCCTCGGCATGGTCATGGCCAGGTATGAGTTGGGGTGAGGTATGGGCAGGTGTGTACCTAGAGCTCAGGTAGGCCTGTGTTCATGGTTGAGAATCTGCCTGCAGATGGACACTTAGGGGTGATAAGAGCAGAGACTGGCACATCCGGCAGGCTGGTCTCTCATGTCTGGGGCTGTTGCTCAGGGGCCTTCCAGGACCACCCTGACATTCTAGACAGGGTGGCACTTGACTCAGCAGCACAGACCCAGGGGCAGGGAGTGAAACGGCTTGCCTACCTACCCATTTCCCAGTGGAGTGCCCAAGGATGAGAGTGGAGCGAGCCCCCGGATTCCCCAACCCCTCCTCCTGGGCTCTGGCCTCCCTCTGTGTGTTCTGGGGAAGGCTAGGAGCCTGCCTCACTGTCAGAGCTGAGGGGCCATAGGGCCTTGAGAAGCTTGCGTCCACACTTGTCCCCGGCAAATAGCCCCACCCATCATGGGGACCCCAAAGTACTTGCTGTGAGCATGTATACACGTGTGTGTATGTGTCCACGCCTGTGCTCCAGCCTCAGCCCACCAAGCAGGGCCGAGAATCCCACTAGTGTTCCCAGGACACTACAGCCTGCCTGGCACTGGCCACTCCTGCATTGTACCCAGAGGCTAAGACACATTGCCTTTTAAGGCGAAATCTGCTGTGAGCTGAAGGGAAAACATCTCCCTGGCATTCAAGGAGCATTTCCCTTCCTGTTTCTCTTACATAAACCACTAGCAGCTTTTCAAAACAGAAGGAAAAAAGGACAAGGTCAGAGAGCTGCAGAGACCTTTGACCCCCACACCCCTACCTGGAATCATTTAAGAACCAGAACCAGAAGACCCAGGAGTTTCCCTTTTATTTCTCAGACTCTTCCCCAAGAACCTAATTCTGGACCTTAAAATGCCACTGCACCCCACACAACACTGGGGAGCCACTGGGCAGGGCCGTGGCCTCCATGGGGCCCCTCTGCTCTGAGGCACAGGTTGCCCAGGGTAGGCTGTGGCGTGACAGACACTCACTGTCAACAGCCAGCCTGGGCTCTGGGCTGCTCTGCTGGCAGGTTTCCTTCTCAGGGAAGTTCCCTCTCATTCGAGTGCCTAGGCTGCATGGCCCAGCTCCTGCCTTGGGAGCTGGTGGGAGGCTGGTTCTGGGGCCACAGCCCCCGCCGAGGAGGGGATGAGGCCCCTGCAGCTCTGCAGAGCACTGGTTCTTGAGCTTAGCAACTGGTGTTGACGTATTTGAATGAAAACAGACATTTCAAGACGGGTGCTCTTCCAAGTCAAAACAGCCTCAGCAAGCCTGCTCTATTATGTGGCAGCATATTCTAATGGAAAGAACTGGTTTCCTAAACAAGGAAAGATTTTAGTGAGAAGTGGCTGTTTCCACAATCTCTGTAACATCTGACCTATGCCCACCCGGCCCATGCCCCTGGCCCCTGCCTGGGATCCTACACGGGCCCTGGGGAGGGTGTGCAGGGTGAGCCCACAGCCTGGTGACAGCAGGAAGACCGGGGTGGGGTGAGCCTCGGGGTGTCAGCATGTAGCCCATGCTTAGTGAGGGTGGCCCATAGGCCATTGGCACAGAAGGGCACATGCCAGTCCCTGGCTTCTGCCTGGCCCTGGCAGACGTGTGTAGGGAGCGTGAGCTGGAGGTGTGGGCCAAGGTGGTGGCAGGACCATGGTGTTACACGTTGGGGTGAGCCAACTAGCATCCAGCACCCCACCTTCAGTGGGCCTGGGGCTGCCTGCGTCCCCAGTTCCAGGTGCGGCCTTGACATCAGGCCTCCAGCTGGCATCTCTGCATTCCATTCTCCCCTGGTGTTGGCAGGGTGACTTAGCCACAGGCCCCTGATAATTGCAGGGGTGGGTACCAGTACAGGGCAGCCTCTTGCCATGCCAGGCATCTGTTTCTCTGGGAGACCCCTTGTGTCCCACTGGTAGTTATTGGGGACAGCTCTGCTTGTCACCTGGGGCCTAGCCGGTGGCCGCAATTCTAGTATTTGCCATGCTGTATGTAACCTGGTGCTCCTTTCTCTCCTGCAGAAAGTCTAAAGCGAAGCCCAACGGGAAGAAGCCTGCTGCAGAAGAGAAGAAGATGTACCTGGAGCCAGAGTACACCAAGTCCAGAATCACTGACTTCGAGTTCAAGGAGCTGGTAGTACTGCCCCGGGAGATTGACCTCAATGAGTGGCTGGCCAGCAACAGTGCGTGGGGGTGCAGTGGACGTGGCGGGGCCGGGGTGGGTGGGGTGGGGTGCCAGGACCTCTGCAGCTGGCAGAGAAGCAGTGGTTTCCTCAAGTCCACCCTGGTTTCCTTGAGGACACCCCAGAGCTGGTACTCAGCTCCCATGCCACAGAGGTCCTGGCCTCACTGGAGGATGGAACACCAGGCCAGGGAGAGAGAGCGCACAGGGCTGGCAGCGCTGTGGGCCCAGAAAGGCAGTGGTGCATAGGAGGGGGTGGTGGATCTACCCCACTCACAGGGCAGGCTGGGGCTCAGGGCTCCCAGCATGCCACATGGAGGGTTGTTGAACCTGTGGTAGGATTCCACAGGGAATTGGCTCTCCTTGGAAGTGCAGTGGGCCTCGTGGGTGGTGGACTAGAGTTGCCCTCTGTTCATTGGTGCTGAGGCGGGTGTCCGTGACCAGCTGGTGTTTGTAAGGGCAGGGTCAGAGTTCAAGAGGCCCATGCCCCTTGCTGGCATGGGATGTTTGTCTACCCTACCTCTTATGCAGGGGTCTCTGTCTAGACTGCCACCAACTCTCTGCTCATTCATTTGCTTGGCCCACATGGCAGCAGCCAGGGTCCAGCATACAAGGCTGCTGCTCCACTTGCCTTTGTCTCTGGTCTGTGATAAGGACGCCAGCCCCAGGGTCTGCGGCTAGGAGTGCTGTCCCTCCCAGGTCTGCAGGACACTGGGGTCCCAGAACCTTTCTGCAGTGCTGGTGTTCATGCCCCACCCTTCTTTTCTCTTCCAGCCACCACATTTTTCCATCACGTCAACCTTCAGTATAGCACCATCTCAGAATTCTGCACAGGAGAGGCGTGCCAGACGATGGCTGTGTGTAACACGTGAGTCACTGCCTGGCTACAGCCCAGCCCCTGGGAGACGTGGGAGGGCTATGGGGGTGTGGCCCCACTGCTGCACTCCCCTCTTTCCAGACCCCACTCTCAACCGTGTGCCACGTGACTCTTCCAGTTGACTTGGGGCCCTCCTCAGTGTCCTCGTAGGACTGCTCCTCTTGTCTCTGCAGGCCCTGGGCTGGCAGGGATACAGGAAGCAGAGCCACTAGGGAAGGATACCTGGTGTGTGAGTCCCACTGGGGCCCAGGGCTCCCAGAGCCACCAGCGAGGGAGCAGGGGCGTTTCCACACAAACCACCCCGAGGCTGGACGTCCTTCTCTGCATCAGTTTGATCCGGTCAAGTAACAGAGGCCTGCTTCGCTCCGGGGAGGGTGGGGGGCGGGTGCCAGGGGTCAGGTGGAGGTGCACTGGCTGGCTTTGTGGGGCTGGTACGCCTTCTTAGGGACTTCCCCACAAGCCTGGTGCCTGGTTGCTCTCTTCTAGAAGGAAGCTCAGGTACATTCACTTCCTCAGGTAGCTTGTGTCCCTGGGCATCCTGCTGGCTTCGTGTCAGCTCTTGAGTTGGGTATGTGTAGTACAGCTGCCATGTCAGTCTCAGTACCAGCCCTGAGGAGCAGAGGACAGGAGGTGGGTCAGCCAGAGCTCAGACTGAGGAGGAGGCACAGAAGTTCCTTTCTGACACCTCCCTTTCCTCATCAGGGACAGATACAAAAATGTGTGAACCACTAGCCTCTGCTAGTGAATATGCACTTGTGCCTGCTGCCCTGAGTTCCACCAGCCCGTAGGCACTGCTGGCCAGGCTCCCCCACAGACCTAGCTCAGAATCAGACAGGCTGGACTCCACTTTCAGTGGGGGTTGGGCCTTGTGAAAGCAAATGCAAACCACAGCTGGCTCTCCACTCCTTCACCCAGGAAAATGGAATGCTCAGGTGACACACACATGCCCAGCTGTCCACAGCCAGGCATGGCCTAGGGGAGGATGGGCAGGGCTGCACAGAAGCTTGAAGTGAGCTTGGGGCAGGAGGGTATCAGCGTGGGACAGAAGTGTCCTCTGTAGGGCACACACAGTACAGATCCTGGAGGTGGGCGGGGACGGCTCTTTAAAGCCACGTGTGTAGCATGCTCTAGAGGACGCGTGCCAGCTGTGAGCCCAGCCAGGCAGTGTCAGAGGTAGGCTGCAGGGCAGGTATGCAAGGAAGTCCAGGTTCTCAGCATCTCCACTCCCAAGTACCCTTCAGTATCAATGTGTTTGCAAAGAAGTTCCTTGAAAGAGCATAGGGTTTGGTGTGGGCCAGACGTACTTCTAGATGTTGGCTCTGCTGTGTAAAATTTGGAGATCTGGGGAAACCCTCTGTTCTCTCCTCTCCTCACCTGTAACCTATTTCATAGGCTGTCCTAGATTTACAGGAATTGATGTGCATGTAATGCCTTCCTTGGAATCACTTGAGATTAAGGGATGGAAACTCATGCAAATTAGTTCAAGAGAAAAAGGGAAGATTGGAAGAAGTCCACAGAGCCACTTATCCCAGGACTAGCAAGTCTGTCTGGGACCTCGAGTGGGTTAAGGCCCAGGCCTGAGGCCCATCTCCACCCTGCTGGTGCCAGTAGGACAGAAAACAAGGGTGATGTTGGAGTCCCAAAAGTTGAGGGGAAAAGGCTGTGCTAAAAACATATTTGAGGAAAAAATGGCTAAAAACTTACCAAGCTTGGCGAAGACAAAAACCTACAGATTCAAGAAGCTAAATGAACTTCAAAAAGGATAAACCCAGGGACCCCACATACAGACACATCATAATCAGCCTGCTGGAAAGAAAAGGTCCTCTTCACAGAGCCAGGGGCGCAGCACACTGCTAGGGTGACCACGGCTCTCAGTAGAAGTGGGGTAGAAGGAAGCTCCACACCCTCTCTGAAGTGCTGAAAGCAGAGACCAGTCACCTCAGACGGAGTTCTCCTTCCAGCCAATGTGTCCTCCTGGAGAGAAGGTGGGACGGAGACAGTCTCAGAGGCAGGAAGACCAAGAACATTCGCAGCCAGCAGACCCGCTCCGAGAGGCCACTGCAGGGCGTCTCAGAGGGAGGTGAGGCTGAAGGACACCCGGGCTGGCACGAGGAAGGAAGGGACCTCTCCGCCCGAGCTCTCTGAGGCATGTTTGTTGGGCAGTCAAAACCAGGGCCCTGTGGGGTGGACTTGCGGTGTGTGTAGATGGGTACCTGAGACAGGGGTGGGCAAAGGGTCATCTTGCAGAGAGACTTCCTGTGTTCATGCATGGTACCAGATATAGCATGGGAAGTTCAGTATCTGTTTTATAACCTTTCCAGCAACCTCTAAAAAAGTTGTATAAATGATACCATCAAAAACATAATAGGTAAAAGGAAATACTAAAAAACTCAAAAGAAGGCAGGAAAGAGGGGATATGAGGAATGAGAAAGGGAACAAATAGTAAGTAAATAATGGTAAACCTAAATGCAAACACATAGTCCCTCTAGTAAATGTCAGGGGTGCAGATGCACCAATTAGAAGACAGAGATTATAAGCACAGATTATTAATGAGCCAACTATACAAAGTCTACAAGAAACTTACTTTTTTTGGTCAGTAAATTCAGTATATTCTTTTTAATTTAAATAATTTTTATATTGAGGTACATAAAATAAAATGTGCAAATCTTAGTGTACAGCTCAATAACTTTTGACCTGTATGTACACTCATGTAGCCATTGCCATTGTCCAGAACCAGATATTAAATGTTCTCACTGATTTTGTTCCCTCTTCATCTATTTCACCCATCCCACAACCCCAGAAACTCACTTTAAATGCAGTGCCATGGGTTAAAAGTAAAAGGGTGCAAAAAGATACCCCAACACAGTAGATGAATGGATAAAGAAGATGTGGTACATTTACACCATGGAATATTATTCAGCCATAAGAAGAACACAAATCCTACCATTTGCAACAACATGGATGGAGCTGGAGGGTATTATGCTCAGTGAAATAAGCCAGGCGGAGAAAGACAAGTACCAAATGATTTCACTCATCTGTGGAGCATAAGAACCAAGCAAAAACTGAAGGAACAAAATAGCAGCAGAATCACAGAACCCAAGAATGCACTAACAGCTACCAAAGGGAAAGGGGCTGGGGAGGATGGGTGGGAAGGGAGGGAAAAGGGGCATTACGATTAGCACACATAATATAGGGAGGGGACACGGGAAAGACAGTATATACAGAGAAGACAAGTAGTGATTCTACAGCATCTTACTATGCTGATGGACAGTGACTGTAATGGGGTATGTGGTGGGGACTTGGTGATGGGGGGAGTCTAGTAACCATAATGTTCAAGTAATTGTACATTAATGATATCAAAATAAAAAAAATAAAAATAAATAAATAAATGGAATAAATAAATGGAATAAATAAAAATAATAAAATAAAATAAAATAATAAATAAAAACCAAAAGAGCACAAATAGAAAGAGAGCTGGAGTGCCCTTAATAGTACCAAAGAAGACTTCAGCCCCAAAAAACCACCGGGATAGAGAAGGAGATTGCTTCTGTACACAAGCGCCAGTTCAAGCAGTGTTGATCTCGAATGTGTGCCCCAAACCCTGCAGCCTGTACACAGAGCAAATGGGCAGAGCTGAAAGGAGAAATAGACAAAAGTCCCGTTGCAGCTGGAGATCTGAGCGCTCCTCTCTTGGTAATGGAACTAGTTAGGAGGCCAGCGGGAACATACAACTAACTGACATTGTCAGGCGGCTCGGCTGACTGACGTTTACAGAACACCCTCTTCAGCAAAGCACACATTCTAAAGTGCACCAAAATGGAGCATATCCTGGCCCATACGGCAGCCATTAACAAACTTTAAAGAAACAGGATCATACAAAATAAGTTATCTGATCATCATGAAGTTAAATTAGAAATCAGTAACAGAAAGATAACAGGAAACTCTCCAAACATTCTAGAATAAATACACTTTAAATAATAGGATTAGATGATTATTTCAGAAGAAGAAACACATCAGTAATCTAAGCTTCCATGTTAAGAAACTAGAAAACGCAAAATAAACCTAAATTGAGCAGAAGTAGTAAGAGTAGAAGTCACTGAAATTGATTTCTGAAAACAAGGAAAATCAGTGAAACCAGAAGTTGATTCCTTAAAAAGATAAAGTTGATGATAAGCCTCTGGCAAGACAGACAAAGAGAAAGGCGCAGATTATCAGTGGCACAGATGAAGGAAGGGGGTTTCCTATAAGCCCAGCAGGTGGAGGCTAATAAGGGAATGTCACAAAAATCTCTGTGTACATGAATTTAACAGTTTAGATTAAATGGACCAATTAACTTCATGGAAAGCACACAATACCAGGTAATACAGTAAGACAAGAAAAAGGAAAAAGGAATCTAAATTGGAAAAGAAGAAACAAAACTGCCCATTATTTGCACATAACATGAATAATCTGTGTAGACACCCCAAGAATTCTAGCAAAAGGAATAAATGAATAAATTTAGCAAGGTGAACACAAAAAAATCCTAGTTCTATATACTAGTGGTGTACAGTTGGGACCCAGAATAAGTAAAACGGTGCTATTTATATAGCTTATTTATAATAACACCACCATTTATACACAGTGTACGCAGGTGTGAACTCAGGAACACAGACTGCATGCTGCAGGCCACAGCGTGCTCGTCAGTGGGAGCAGAGGACATCCTGTGTTGGTGGCTGGAAGACTCAGCATCCTAAAAATACAAGTTCTCCCCCTAACTGACCTATTCATTTAATGCAGCCCTGCCCAGAGTGCCAGCAGAGTTTACGTGGAAGGGCAGAGTCACCAGGACAGCTGCGACCACTTTGAGGAAAAAAACTGAAGCTGGAAGGATGCCGCTGCCCAATCCTGAGGCTTCCAGTCAGGCCTCAGCCACCAAGACAGCACGATGTCAGTGAAGGAGCTGAGTCCACAGACAGACTCCCCACAAACACTGCTTCGGTTTTTGACAAAAATGCAGAAGTTTGATGGAGAAAGGACAGCCCCTAACTAATGCTGTGGTCAAACCAGTCCTCTGCAGAAGAAAAAGTGAGTCTTCGTGTGAACCTCACACCTTAACACCAGAGTTAACTCCAGATGAGTTCTAAATGTAAATGTAAAACTACAAAACTTTTAGAAGAAACAGGAGGAAATCTTCTTGACTTAGCATTAGGCAAAGAGTTCTTGGTCATGACAGAAGGCATGCTCTGTTGACGGAAAGAAATCAGTTTGGATTTCATCAAAATTTAGAACTTCTGCTCTGAGGAAGACAAGACAAATTATAGACAAATTACACATCTACGAGGGGGTATGTACGACCCATATGACCCGGTGTGTGTCAGGAACTCTCACCACTCACCAGTAGGAAGATAGTCCAGTTACAAGTGGGGAAAAGGACTCAGGCAGACGGATCAGCAAGGACGACGCGAGGATCCCCAGCCAAGGGAGGCCTCGTTGGATTTCTGCTTCCTGCGCAAACGGGGAGCTTTGTGACTTCCCGGGGCTTTTGTCATGAGCGGCTCCGTGCACACTCACGGGGCTGGGCTCTGTGCGGCCTGGCAGTACCCAGAGGAGCAGCCAGAGGGCATCTGCCTTCTGCACCCAGGCTAACCTCAGCCTTCATCTTCAGGACTAACTGGCTGGGAGGGGAGACTGCTTGCCCACCCAGACTGGCCTCCTTGCTGGGGGCCTGCCTGTTCCTGGGGGGCCTGTGCTCATTGGCAGCCCTTCCTCGGCACAGGTACTGGGCACAGGAGTACCTGCTCCCCACGGGGTGCAGCAGGGATGTGGGGCAGAGGCCGCAGGGGGTGGTCCTTGTCACTGGCTGGGCTGGGGTCTGGGCCCCTTGTGCATTCACAGAAGTAGCCCCTGTCCCTCCCCACTGGCTCCTGCCTCCGTCCTAGGGTGGGCAGAGGGTTGGTTTGGGCAGCTGGGGGTCTTTTCTTCTTTTTTGTGTGTCCTTGATCAGGCAATTCCCCTTCCTCCCCGCCGCCTTTCCGCGTATTGTACAGTACACGCGGTAAAGCTACAACGAAGACACCCTTTTCAGATAGGTCCGTGGAGAGAGCAGACAGGCCCCTGCCGCCCCCGCCCCGCACGCTGGGTCCAGCCTCTGCTAAGGCAGCCTGTGGGAGCAGAGGGGTGGGGAGGTGAGGGGGTGGGGTGGAGGCCCAACAGCAGTTTGTGTTCTGCGTGGGGCAGGGGCTGGAGGGCAGCTGGCACTGACAGGAACTGGGAGACTCACTTGCACAGCTGGATTTAGGCAGTGCCCACGCCCCGAATGCTCTGGTTGGTCGCTGAGGATTGACTGCCCTGTGCCTGGGGGCAGGGTGGGAGGCTTTGGGTGGGTGTCCAGAGGCCAGTTCCCTGTCCACAGGTGCCACTCCGCCCACCAGCCTGGTGGACCGGTCTTCTGGTGGGAGTGGGAGGGCTGCTGACGGTGGAGCCCAGCCGACAGGCCACACAGGTCTCCCTGTAGAGGCAGGACAGCAGGTTTGTTGTGATTAAGAACAACCACCAGTGCCTCTTTAAATAACACAGGCAACACGTTCCTTGAGCCACTTGGTAGCAAACATGAAGCACCCCCACCCGCCCCCGTTTGGAGTCACATTCCTCCCTGGACATTGTTCTGAGTGGGCACGGGTAGACCCCTGTCAGGGAAGCTGCGCACCTCCCCAGGTCTTGGTGGGGGCAGGCGAGCCCTGCACACCTCTGCTGCCAGTGGCTGCCACCTGGTGCTGCCTCATGACCACAGCAGTGCCCACACCGCAGGGCTGGGGAGGCTGGGGACTAGATCTCCATGGTGGCGCCATCACCTGCTTCTGTCCCCACAGACAGTACTACTGGTATGATGAGCGGGGGAGGAAGGTCAAGTGCACTGCCCCCCAGTATGTGGACTTTGTCATGAGTTCCGTGCAGAAGCTGGTGACCGACGAGGATGTGTTCCCCACAAAATATGGTACGTCTCTCCCTTGATGGGCATGGCTGCAGGTGGAGGAGCAAGCCTTTGGTGGTCAGCAGCCACTGACCTGGGCCAGGGCTCAGCCCAGCCACGGTCCAGGCCCTGCCACCACAGGCTCTGGGGACTGTGCCCGTGAGTGGCCACAGGGCTGGGGTAATCCAGGCTGATCTGAGCCACCAGAGGGCAGCCCTTCAGGCTCCCCCTCTTGCACCCACGCCACATGGCCAGCCCTGGTGTGTCTGTCAGGGAAGCACGTGGGGCCCCAGGGCTGAGGCCAGGTTGGCCAGCATGTGGTGGGTCACAGGCCCCTTGATGCAGAGGTAGCCAGGACAGGTGAATGAGCAGTCTGTGAGGTGCAGCTCTTGGGGTGGGTCCAGGGTGACAGGGCACTCAGGTGCCTCCAGTGGGCTACCAAGGGGACTGCAGGGTGGCGTTAGGGGGTGCATGGGCCCTAGGCCAGGCCAGGCCAGTCCTGCAGAGAGCACCGCGCTCCAGAAGCCTGGAGAGCCGTGGGCGCCCGGGTGGAGCTCAGGATGACGCGGTGGCCCTCTCCTCCCAGGCAGGGAGTTCCCCAGCTCCTTCGAGGCCCTGGTGAAGAAGATCTGCAAGTACCTGTTCCACGTGCTGGCGCACATCTATTCCTCCCACTTCAAGGAGACTCTGGCCCTGGAGCTACACGGACACTTGAACACTCTCTACGTCCACTTCATCCTCTTCGCCAGGGAGTTCAACCTGCTTGACCCCAAAGAGACTGCGGTCATGGATGACCTCACGGAGGTGCTGTGCAGTGGTGGGGGGCACAGCGGGGGCAGTGGGGATGGGGCTGGCAGCGGGGGCAGCGGGGCACAGAACCACGTGAAGGAGAGGTGAGCCCCCAGCAGACCAGGCGTGCACATGTGCAGAGACAGTGGTGTGCGTGCCTGCATGTGTCTGCGTGTGCACACGTGCTAGGCACACTGCGGGAGGTCTGAGAGGCGACGCTGCCCCAAGCCC